GGGGTGAAATAAAAACTGGGTTACTGGTTCCTGAAAAATGGAGACTTGTGTATGGTGGATAGTGTTCACGAGCCACACAAGAGCGTCAGGCCCGTGTCACGTGTGGCTGCTCTTTACACTTGTTTGCACACCTGAGGGCCGTCACGTAGACTCTTGCTCAGGGCTTTCCTCTCATGACTGGTAAGAAGGCAGGGGCGCTTCTCCACCAGTGTGGTCCTAAGACCGACAGCAGAGTGTTTCTTTTCTCTCTAGTGCTGTCTGTGTTCACAGGGGAGAGGCAGAAGAAGGGGCAGCCAGGGCTGCAGACGGTCCTAGCAATGGTCACTGTCCCCACTCGCTCTGCACACATGGGCTTCCTCAGCCTGGACAGGCATTTGTCGCACAAAACTCCAAGTCCTTGATTAGAACATTTGACCCAATTTTAGAAAAAACAAGGGACTTTCATTGTACTTTTTTTTATTCATTTAACAAATATTTACCGAGAATCTACTGTGTATTAAGAATTGGCCTAACCAGAAAGGCGAGCAAGACCCACCATTCTCCTCGAAAAGCTGAGAGTTGAGGGCTTTTTGTTCTCAGAGGAAAAGGCCTTTTGGTGGCATAAAAAACCTGCTTGTACTCCCTGTCCCCATGCTTTAGATACACCATTTTGTCCTAATAACCACAAGGACATGAAGTAGTGGTCACAGATTAAGCAGTGAGTAAACTGCAAGTTTCTATTACCAATATATTTCCTGTTTACTTTCTAAGTGTTCTGTGTCAGCATTACATCATAATAACAGTTCATAGGATAATTACTGCTGTTAACTTCACCAGACACTTTGAAAAGATATAGGATATTTCAGAGTCTTGCAAATAACCCAAGGTGATTAATAATATGATTTGACAAGGTAGTAAAGAACACTGATTCAGTTGCTTTCTATCTCAGTATGTCACTAGGAAAGTAAGACTATCACATTAGTCAGTTAAGGTGTAGTAGCTTAATGTAAATTAACAGTAAACATTTAAAAACAACAGAGGAGATATTAAAATTATTTTTAACTTGAGTAATGGAATCCTGATTCAAAATAGTATTTAGCACGAGAACGTAATATACTACCTACTGCTTGTTCTATTATCTGTCATTATCTTTTGAACCCTATAATTGGACAAACAGGAAGCTATTCCTAATAATAAGTTTGCTCGAAATCATCTGTTTGCTGGAGTCTGGGGTGCACACTGCAATCACTGAACTGAAGGCAAAACTGCTTACTTTATGCTTTCCATTGTTCGTTCTTCTCTGTTACAACAATGTACAGGAATGCTACACATCTGGGCAGTCCAGAGCATCTTACAAAAATTACTGAAAAAAAACAGTCATTTTTCCTGCATCACATGAGTGGGCAACATAAATCTTATTTGCTGCAGGGTTTTCGTTGAACCTAACCCATGTCCTGCCTCCTGTGCAGGCACATAACTATGCTAAACACGTAACTCGGCAATAATTTTCCCTCTGGAATTTCCATTAGATCTAACCACTTGCTTTATTTATCCTATTGCTGGTTTTATTTTTCAGTGATTCTTCGTTCCTTATATCACAGCTACCCAAATATCAGCTTGCATGGGACTCGTGCATATACATAGGTCTCCTTTTGCAAGAGATTTAAACTGAAAGGCAACACCAGCTATTACTGGTCTGTTTTCCATTTTCATTATCAATAAAGCAGGAGATCAGCATTTTCATGCTGTGAGAAGGCTTCAGGGAAGTGCAATGTTGCCGTCATTATCTTTAGACCAGGCTTCTGCCTGTCCCCACTAATGCAGATGGAATGATGAGCCCATGAAAATAAAAATAAAATAACGAAACGACCAGAGTCATAGAGTGGGCCGCTGACCTGGACGGCCGCATGGCTCCCCGAAAATGTCCCTTTGAATTTAGTGGAGCCTGGATGGTTAAAGACCACAGATCATGACAGAACATAAATTCGCCTCATAATGAGATTAGAAGGCAGGCAAAATAAATGTCCTGCTGTTACATTAGAGGCAGGCTCTAATCTGGCATTTTCCTTGGAAATGATCATTTCCTTTGCAACAGGGGAACCACGGATGCAACAAGCTTAAATCCGACAGATTCTGTTTTGCCACATAGTTATTTTTCATCTTCTTCTGTCTTTTTAATAGCAGTTTTGGGGAGGCGTATAAATGAGTTGTGAGTCTTAAAGACTATTACCAAAGTGAGTTATGGAAGTTTATATTCGTTTATATTCATGATCATCAATCCTGTTCCCCAGACTCCCCTTTGTAGAAAAGTTCTGTGACTCCCCCTCCCCCCCTCTAAACCAGAGCCCCACGGAGGAGGTGTGGTGACCCCGGGGTCCTCTCACTCTAGCCTTAAGGATCAAAGGCAGAATAGAGTCACTATTGTATTTTGGGGGCATTTTTTAAATCTCAACTGCAACTCTACTACTTAAAACCACTGGAAACAAGTATCACATACTAAAGAGCCTTAAGAAAATGCTCAGATCAGGTGAACCACAGGGTCTCTGAGCAGAACAAAGGCGTCGAGTATGGAGCTTGATTGCAAGCAACTCCCTTGGTTTGCAGCAGAAGGTAATCTCACCTGGGAGTACAATACCCGCCTCTCATTAAAAATGCAAGATAGCATCTCCTCCTGGATCCTTTCTACAGAACCTGATGCAAGTTCACGGGCAGTACCGTCCTACTAGTGAGTGGCATTTAATCAAAGCCTTCTGTGAAATAACCTCAGAGTTTCATGAGCCCTGTAAAGTCACCAAGCAAGTTAAGTGGTCTTTTCAAATGGAATGGGAGACCAGACTGAATTTAGGAGTATTCAACGCTTCTGCATAAAAGGTACAGACGGTTTAATTTCTCTAAGTTTTCTAGCGCCCAGTCTAAGGACTCTACGTCTCTGTGAAACTGAAGATTAGGATCATTTGCTAGTAGCCCAGTTCATGGCATTTTGGCGTATTGTTTTTCTTAGGCTGGAGAGAAACCATAGAAATCTTTTGCATTTGCATATATTGTATGTTTTACAGTTTGTGCAGTAGCGTAGAACATCACTTTAACTAACGAAACAGTTCCCTTTTTGTAGTTGGTGCTTCCATTCAAAAACTTGGTTT